ACAGATTCTTCTAATGATCTTTTGAAACACTGAACAGCTGAATAAACTTATTTGTACACATTTTTAAATGTCGAGCGCAGAAAAATGAGCTTAAAATGTTACCTACCGCAAACACATAGGAAATATATGAATTCTTAAAAATGTACGGATGATTGGAATCGCATGAAATCTATGCTCCATCGATCTATGCTACATCGTTTGGACAGTCTCGAGGTTCCAAAAACTTCCATAGAAACACAACAGCTTTACTGAAACATCCTCACATCCCAAAGCACTGAAACACACACCTTTTTCACCGGTTCAATAAACTTCGCAAAGAATAAATAAACTGTGCAAGTCAAGTTCGTTCTCGAGTCTGTGAAATGATTCAGAGCAAGCAATCGTGAATCTTGATCCACTAAGATCCATGCGTATCTTGATTTACTAAGAACACTGTGGATCTTGATCCACAAATACCCATGTAAATCTTGGTCCACTAAATTCTATGTGAATCTTGATCTATCTACTAAGATCTTTGTGTATCTTGATCCACTAAGATCCATATGAATCTTGATCACTAAATTCCACGTGAATCTTGATTTACTAAGATCTTTGTGCATCTTGATCCACTAAGATCCATGTGAATCTCGAACCACTTAATCTTAGCACAAGCGGCCATTTGTATTCTAGTGCACTGGGAGAAGTGGAGTCGAGTGCACCAAGTCGATGATGTGAGACTGACACGGAAGCCACTGACTGACTGATACCAGCTCGTTTCCTATACACACACAGCGTAGGCCGTCACGCCTGTGAACGCGGGTGGTGATGCGCGCGATCACTTCTCTTAATCTTACGTCACGTTACGGCACGCGTGGCCGCACTTTTACGACACGAGTCACCCGCACGTTACAGCACGCTTGGCCGCACGTTACGACAAGCGTTGTCCAAAATTTACGGAACGCGTGGGCCATAAGTTACAAAATGACAACGCCATTTCTAGAGTTAGCTAAATACCTGATATATAAGTATACGGTCACACTTATCAGCAAGTAGGGTCACACTTTCCGACAATCAGAGTCCCACTTCATTACATGAATGGTCACACTTCGTGACAAGCAGAGTCTCACTTCGTGACAAGCACGGTCACGCTTCACGACGAGAAGAGTCACACTTTCCGACAAGCAGAGTCACACTTCATGACAAGAATGGTCACACTTCGTGACAAGCACGGTCATACTTCACTACAAGGCCAGTCAATCACACCTTACGACAAGCACGGTCACGAGTTACAAGTGCATGTAGTCAGCAATATCAAGCATCGTCACTTGTAAAGTCACTCGTGGAAAACTCTATAAGCTACTGCCACCACAGATTTGTGTGTGTGTATGTGTAAAATTATATAGTACATATAATTTTGAAATATGCAAAATTTATGGTACAGTTATTGTTACAGAAGCAACCTTGACCAATATAAAAATGATGAGACTAATGGTACAGTAACGAGTATTTTAAATGTGCCCTAGTACTCTTAGGTACATTATGCAGCAATTAAAATTGCACCAGAAGTACAGGTATAGGGCGTTCACTTACGTTCCATTCAGATATGTCCTAGTAAGGGCTTAAAACTTGCTAAAATTTCATCTACACTTAGCAGTGTAGATGAACACAAATCAGTGCATTTCAATTAGAAGGACAGAATAGAATTGATTCAGTTTTAATGAATCGAGATACTTGAACGCTTCCAAATTTTTCCAATTCCAATTAATACCTCTATAGATTCTAGTCACCGAGACCTTGCCATTGTAGAACACATTATTCTTAATAGATTGGAGTAACAGTTGTAGAAAGAGTTACTTATCTAAAATGTAGTTATGGCTACAGAATAGAGTTACAATGATTTTCATAGTATCATGCCAGATGAGCGGCCATCGTTTGCAATCTCAGTTGCAACACAGCGACAGCGCAACGCCTCGTCCTTCGGTGCGTGTGCACCAGCGGCTATCTTGCGGCGCATCACCACAATACTTATAAACTATACAAGCGTTATATCTTCGGAATCATAGGCCAAGTCGGACATAGTAAACACGTATTCTTTTTAATAAATTCATTTAAGATAGGCAATTTTTAGCTACCAAGTTTATCTATTCTTTTATAGTGTACGGAATCGAGGCACGAAAATAGGAGCGAAATTGACCACTGACGCCAATCGCAAATTAATTGACGTAGCAAATTAAGCCAGTCCTTATTTGCAGTGAAGGAAACCGAATTTAAGTTGAGAGTGGCCAATTTCTATTAACTATGAGAGTGGCCAATTTCTGAATTTTTCTAAAATGAGACTTTTTGAGTCTCAACTCTCGCTCAGAAAGTGAATTAAGTAGGGACCACATCGCTGTTTGGCATTATTTTACTCTCGTTAAATAGTATTGAACGAGATTAAGTAATGGGAACATGTTGGGCAACCAATATCAGAAAACAGAACAACAGATCAGAAATTTCTTTTATTCTTCAAGTGCTCAATTGCATCACACCTTGAGGGTCACACAAACTGTAGCTGAGCTCATGAATAATTCTCTGTCAACGTACGTGATATGTGATAAAAATACTAGGTAGCTCCTAAATTCAGGATAAAATAATCAACAAAGAAACAAACAAGCTTCAATTACTTTCCTACCACAATCGTATACAGAAACGACCGACAAGATGCTCTTAAATAGCTGAAGCAGATTTAAACCTTTTCTCAACTCTTTAAGTTTCACAGTATTTCATAACAACAAAGAACACAAAAGAAATATTTTACCTGACACAGGCTTGAGAGGTAAGCGACAGCCAAGCAGTAGTCTCTCAGATGGCACTCGAATATCGCCGGTTGATCTTGCATGAAACATACCTAGACTGCCAGGCTTTTGTAAATGATGGTAGATAGGCAGTGGCTGCACCAAACGATTGATCATGTCCGTGGATGTGCTGCACTGAGATACCGCTATCCTGACTGGGTCTGGGTATCTCTCACCATAGTCCGGGATATCATGGTAGCTGTACATGTAATGTTCTACCTGGGGCCACGGCATCCCGTCAACAGATGAACTGAGATAGTAGGCGGGATGAAAAGATTGTTCATCAGGAATAGGGATAAATCCGACTGGCGGGGAGTAATAAGATGGTTGTTCGTGAACAGAAAAGTGACCGTGAGACCTTTGAGCGATTGGAGGTATATTCACAGGAACTGCCTCGTCGAAGCACCTATCGTGCTGCAGAGAATCACATGACTGCGTCAATCCGGAGCGCAGATCATCAACAGTACTAATGCTCATCCTAAATTCTTCAGAAGTATTAAACAACTTTCTGTTATGCTGGTTATTATTACGGATCTGAGGAACTGTTGTTTTTCTCTTCACATTTCGTGTTGTCGGTTCCAGAGGAGGGACTTTCCTGCGAATTGCAGGACCAGGAGAGCAAGAATCTCCTATGCTTTCATTCATATTAGAAAACAGATTCCTGGACTCAGATCGAAAATTGTACCTAGGACTGAGAAGTGCCCCTGCAGAAATGTTATCGCATTTCTCTTCATCCAAATTGATGGTCGTCACATTAGTGGATGAATGCTGTCGGGTATGCCACGTCTCTGAATTGTTAGTTTGAAACGCCTCCCCTCGTAATGCTGGGACAAGAGGTAATCTTGGACCAGATCTGACGAAGCTGCGTCGTATATTTGAAGTGTGGCGGTTAATCAAACAGCTCCTGGTCTCGGTGAACGCAGTCTCATTATCTAGATTGTCGCTGTGTTGTTGTTTGCTTATACTCGCGTGAAGGTTGACGCCGTTGTAACAGTTATGTGACATTGAGCGACGCAAAAAGTCGTGCTCACGCATCTCGTCAGTTTTTTATCTGTTTAACTTTAAATTCAGCATCTTAATTAAGCTTATTTATTTTTCTAATTCTATTTATTTGATGAATAAACTAAAGTGTTTCCGTGGCACAACATTTTCAACATAACATTAAACAAATGCGGGAACGAGACTAAAAAGTCAATAAGATCAATTTGATTGATCTATTATCAATGATAGATGATCATTAATGACGAAGTTAATATCAATCTGATTGGTCAATTATCAACTCTCAAATTATTTGTCACTAGCGCATCGATTTCATAGCATCTACTTGCTTTGAGTCCAATATTTTTACGAACAACATTAACGAACAAGCACCAGCTGAATTTATCATCACTCGTGCCAAATGTTTTGCATAGGTACATCACATCAGTTACTAATCCGTAGCGTTTCGTTCTCAGTAGATACTAAATAGCCACTAAAATAACAATAACACTTTTGGTATATTGAAGTGAATTCTCCACATGAGGAACGCACGACGGTCCAACGTGACAGCGACTGCGTTGCAGGAAGTTTCTAACACAATAACACGCCACCATCACAAGTCGTTACCATGGACACCTTACGTCAACATGAGGGTATCGAACAGCCGATATACCTACAAAGTGTATGAATAAGATAACTTTTCGCGAGCGGGTAAGGTTAAAATACAGTCTAACTCCTTAACATACTAATGTCTCAATCTATTGCTTTTCAACTTGATTGCAGGGGAAATGAATTTTGTACGTTCATTCATATTTGAATGAACGACAAAACGTTCATTCATATGAATTTGACAACGTTCATTCATATGAAACGAATGGCACGACGTGTTACTCGACCAATGCCATTGGAATAAAGTATCACGTGAGTTCTGGTTTGTTCGTCACAGTAACGATGATTCATCAAGCGTATAAGGAATATTACACTCGCCAGCTTCCTTGTTCGCCCAGACTGGACTGACTAGCGATTATAATTGTTGCAACGAGAAATAATAATAAAGTGATTATTATTTATATTTAACAGCGATAAAATTGCATCTGCAATGTTTTAGATGGAATATTTCCATTTATTGGTAAAGCCTCGTCATAGAGTGAGCCAGAGATGCAAATAATATGGCCAGTTCAAGCAACAACAGCAAAGCACCACCATTACCTTGAATGAAGCGGTCGGCTGACAACGAAGATTGCCCAGGAATCCTGGAGGTGCCCGAAGACGATTCATTATGTGGGGAACGATCGCGTGATCCTCGGCTCCTGGGGATGGCTGAGACTGACGAGTTCATCCCCACACCTCTGTAGGAGGCAGAGGAGAGGGAGCGCAGTCCTCTAGTAGAAGGAATACCCGACGAAGGAAATTGATTAGAAGAGGTTGAGGTAATAGCGTTCCGAGCAAATGACTGCCGGAGAGACAACACAGATCGCGGGATTTGTGAAGGAGGAGCAGCCGATAAGGTGGAAGTTGGTGAATGAGTTCTTGTCGTGGTTGGGGAATTGGAGCGGGTCCACTGACACACAGACGAAGAAGATGAATGGGTTCGAGCTGTCGAGTGGGAAGGTATGGATCTAACACGACTACTCGAAGGCGACTCGCAGTTCCTCTCCCGAGGAGGGGTGCCCATGTGAGTGCTGGAGTGGAGTGGAGGGTCAGAGGAGCGCAGACGAGGAAGAGTGGAGGAATTGCCATACAAATTGTTGCTCCACCACGACGCGGAAGACACGCCTCCCGAACTGGACATGGTGCTTGGCCCGGAGCCGGAGTCTGAAACATTATGGACGGACGTAATGACGATACATAAAACTTTAACATTAAATTGGAACATTAAATTTTCTGCGCGAATTATGTTGGTAATGATAACAATGATATGAAGTTGATTGTATATAATTTATAAGAATCTGGGAAACGAGTACATTTTGAACATTTACAATCTCCTGATAATTATGTAGATAATAGCAAAAACTGTATAAAAACTCACAACTCTACAATTTAATATAAATGAGCACAGGAGTCCATTGACAGAAACGAGTACGAACGTTAAATCCTTTGACTTTATTAAATGAGGCAATCACCGATCATGCAAGAATTAGTGCTACAGACCGAGACAGACTTACGAATGCTGGTTAATTCATGTAAGACATTCGTTCACTGTTATTAAATCTTAGAAAGGGCTTAAAACCTCTTACACCCCAATTTGTGATATGAAAATAGGGGATTAAATTCCCGATGTGTTCAACTTTGATTGACTGACTGGTAATAGCTTAGTTACAATCAAGCTCAGCTGGCTCTGATTTAGTTAGCGATGAAAATCGTGCCAAAATTCAACAAATATCAATAATATCATAATTTTTAGGTAACCGGTGCTTCCAGAGAGGTCTAACAAACATTTATGGAATGTATCTGCATGGAATTAAAAGGCCTTGACTGGAATTGTATGGTATTGACGGATATTTTGTGGAAATGAATGGAAAACTTGTCATTGACTGGATAGTATGGTATTAAGTGGTTATATTTGCTACTGACTAGTATTGGATGATATCGACTGGAATTCAACGACAGTAACTGGAATAATATGGGGTGATTACAATGGCACCGAATGAATTCAACGGTAATAACTGAATTTAGTGAATATGCACGGATGATTGGAATCGCACGAAACTGATTGTTATTGTATGGTATTCACTGAAATTGTATATTTCATACAAGAATTTAATTGGGCTGACTGGTAGTGCATGGGGCTGATGGGAATTGTACGAGATGTCAAAAATTATATTATGCTGACTGAATTATATTGTGCTGACTGAAATTGTACTATGCTGTCTGACTGAAATTGTATTATACTGGCTAAAATTGTACTATGCTGACTGAAATTGTATTATACTGGCTAAAATTGTACTATGCTGACTGAAATTGTACTATACAGACTCAAATTGTACTATGCTGTCTGAAATTGCATTATACTGACTGAACTTGTACTATGCTGTCTGAAATTAAATTGTACTATGCTGACTAAAATTGTACTATATAAGCTGACTGAAATTGTACTATACTGAATTAAATTGTACTATGCTATTTGAAATTGTACTATGCTGACTGAAATTGTATTATACTGCCTGAAATTGTACTATACTGACTGACATTGTACTATACAGACTGAAATTGTACTATACTGACTGAAATTGTACTATGCTGATTGAAATTGTACTGCACTGACTATGATTGTACTGTGCTGCCGCGGCAGCGTTTACGGCGGCCACAGCCGCAGCAGCGATGGCCAGAGGGTTCATGGACGTCGGGACGGGGATGCTGGAACGAGCCCTGCTGGACGGAAGATTTTCTTCCTCTCCTTCGTCGTCTTCGACTTCGTCTTCCTCCTCTGCAGGTTGTTCCTCATGGGGACGTGAGGCACTGCGAAGGAGGTAGCAGTTCTGTGCTCTGCTCGGGGAAGGTCTTTGCCCCGATCCCCTAAATGGACTACCGCAGCTTCCACGTGGTGTTGACTCTCCTGGAACACGAGATGATATTTAACGGCGTTGCTTGATCCAATTATTTTGTTGATACCTTGTTTAATAAATTGTGCAAAAAATCTATTACTACGTTCTCTTAATTCCTAAATAATAAATGACTAACAACATTGATAGGATTAAACTTGGAATGAGTCGCATTGCATGGCATAAACAGACTGATTAATTGGAATTACAACACGCCATTGCAAATAAACGGTGATTTTACTTCACTCTGTGCCATCATATCAGAAATACGCTAAGCCTACGATATTTCAGGATTTCTTAAAAATAATTCATATTTGAACACCTTGGTTTCAGCAAGTTGAAAACGATGATAAAATAGTATTCCATAGCAAATAATTTCACTATTTTCTTTGCTGATACTCGAATTAGCTGGTAAACTATTCTAGTTTTAACAAATTCAGGTAATAATGATTCTTAAATTTTTATGCGACTACAGCCGCCGAGGCTACTTGCTGTAGTCTCCTTAGCTTCCCAGGTACAAAAGCGCACTCAAGTTAAAAGTCAAGATTTCGTCAGTGTACTCTGTTTTCAGTGTTTTATCTAATGCTTTCGCAATGGAATACTGTGGAAAAAATAATCAGTTCTGTTTGACAACCTCTAGCCTACTTAAGTTGGGAGTAATTTTCCCCAGATTCTCAACAATGATCCAGTACTTCATCTCAGATAATGTGGGCTTGGATTCAGACCTGGTGCGAATGGGATAAGTTGTATAGCCAAAAATGATGCTAGTGATGACTAGTGATGTGAACGAAAAATGCGCTTGTACGAAGTGCACGACAAATACTCTTAGAACCTCAATGTAGAGCAAAACAGTAAAACCTATCTAGTAACACTAATTGCATGATTCTGCCACGTACCAGAAACGGAGTCATCCGAGTAAGCGGACACAAGACTCGTGTTGCTGTTAGAAAGAACTGACGCGGTCCTGTGATACGGCCCAGGCTGCTGCTGATACATCTGCAGCATATGGTTCATATCGTAAGGCTCCATGTATATAGGCTCCTGGTTATGATAGCTGTTGTCTAGGTCCTTCAAGAAAAGTAAGTTCTCCTTCTCGAACTCAGTGAGTTCACGTTCATCAGTGTCACCATCTGGGTCGTCAATCTCTGGGGTGCAACCTTCACGAGACCCACGGTGGGCAGACCTCTCGCTGTGGCCATCCCCCTGCAGGATTTGACCGAGGCTCACGCTTCGACGGTATGGGTCTCGGCGGCCCGGCGGAGGGCTTTCCTGACCGGGACCTCCGTTCCACATGGTATTTCGTCCACCAAAGATGCCCCCCAGGGAAAGAGAAGGGGACACATCTCTGCGTCTCCGGCCTCCATGTCTCCCAGTAGTATTGGTGTTATTGACGCCATTGTTGTTTTTGCTTGCAGAACAGGTGCAAGTTGTTCCAACGTCCGTGAGCTGAAAAAATATGTACTCTTAATCAATGTGTTTTATGGTTTTTAAACCATCTCTATTAGGAGACTCAGAGTAATATCAAGAGGATTTGGCTTAATATGCAGTGCATCCTGAACCCGCATGTAACAGCTGCGAAGAAGAGTATTATAATTTAGAGAAATATATGATTTACTAATTCATTGCTATTATGGAAGTTTGTAACATGACAAACGGTTTTGTTTCCGCAAAAACGCAATGGAAGGTCGACTTACAGCGCCGGTTTTCGTGGAACATAGCCAACATATACACGAAATTTTTTATTATTTACATTTTGCAAGGTGACAACATTTAATCAGCGAAATAAATTAATGAGAAGATGATTGAGTAAATCTCTTGTAAATGGAAAGCCGTACTTACGCTTTCAGTCGAGTTTCTGCGCTTTCGACCAAGGAAGTAGCGCTTTATGGCGTGCATCTTTAGGAGTGTCTAGACTCAAAATCCTCCCAAAGCTCCAATTTTTTATTTTGTTCAAGAATTATACGAAAAGAAATGTTCAAGTCATACCTAAATATCACAAAACTGCACGCAGTCGTGAAAGAAAATTAATCGTAGTACATAATGAGATGATACATGACCATTATACGGAAGAAAAAGGTTATAGGCGTTCCTCAATTATCCCAGCTTGGAAAAATAAAACGAAATTTTTTTTGAGTGAACATTAGTGAAACACATTAATGAAGCACAATCCTCTAAGACATCTCAAGTTTGGTTTTGTCCATTGTTTGCTTCTGTCCTACGCTAATCTGTCCAATTGCTTCATTCCCATGAAATATCACGTACTAAGTTAACATTGTTTGTGTGTTTTGATAAGCGATACAAATTTCAGATTCATTTAACTACGCATCAGTGAGCGCAAATATAGTAACGCAAGGGAAATAAACTGTGTTTCCCAAATTTTTACAGAATTGTTTGGACTCGTCAGACGACCATTGGAGAGTGACGAACATTTGAGCAACACAGTCTCAATCTCGTGCGAGCTCATGAGTGTCCAACACGTGAGACCGACAGGATCTTGCACTCAACTTGCTTAGCTCTCCTTGTTGATGACCAACGACTGCATTTCCAGAAAGCTAGAGCGCACTTTTGCTTTCCTGTTTGAATGTCGACAGTCCCCTGCTTGTGGTATGCGCCTAGCGTTTTGCAACAATATAGATCGAGTTAAAATGTACGTTGTAAAAGGCTCTCAGACTCTGTCACAAAGAAAACTAATTAAAAAAAAGTAAGCAACAAAGCAGATAGTGTTACCGGCAACGACCGCCTGCCAATGCTTGCTTATCGCGTGAAATGCAAATGCTTGTAGTGACATACCTACGCGTACGCATCTGTCGGGCATGCAGTACAACTCGGCTGAGTTCATTTCTGACATTCGGTGCACGTGGCAGTAAGTCGTGGGTACTTTTTACATAGCCTTGGCCCTGTTAACAGCCATGGTTTATAGCCCATTGTTAAGGTTGGACCTAAATTATTTTTCCAAACGTTGTCGCGCTTTCACTGTCGTTGTAATTCTCACTTTTGAATATGATTATGCATAGCTTAAATAGTAACCCCCGGAGACCAAATGATTAACATAAGATACGAAAAATAATGAAATTAATTTAATATCAAAATTGTTCATCAATATTATCGACAATAGTCCGGAGAGGAGCTAAGTACAATAAATCATGTTGTTATTTGGCGAAACTCGAGAGGTTAAAATTTGAGCACAAATTTCCCTACAATGAGGGAATATTCATACATATAAGAGCTGCAGGAATTCTTGGTCAACGATCAATCCTTGGAAATAAAATTTAACTAGATATGCAGTTTTATCATTTATGATTAGATGAAATTAGACAGCCAGGTATGTCTCAAAAACTGTAAACAAAATTCACGTTCAAAGTTATCCTCAACAGAAACTCCTCCCTAGAATTCAATCTGTCATTTAATTTATTCAGATATTTTTTTATCAGCCTGCAAAATTTTAAGTCAGTGTGTTAAGCCTGTGTGTGTTTAAGCCCTTCTTAATCCAAGACATATAGGATGCGTCATGCGCCATGACACGTTTTTGATACGTACGTTAAATGTAACTTTGTGCGAAACTTTATAGCATATCATAGCCGCAGCATCATCGGCCGACCGTCTGCCATTCCCCAAACGCACTCAAACATGGTGCCGTTTTGAACAGAGTATGAGCACCACAAGATACCATCTTAACCTTCTGACATCGTCCATGGATGAAAAATTCCGATCGAAGAAATGTTGGTCGAATTCGACCTCGAAACAAACACTTTGAACTTTACTCAAGCTCGGTTTAGAGATTCTTGATATAAACGAATGAGCTAAAGATGCAATCACATGAAAAATGAACGGTTGAGAAGTGAACGGCGTTTTAAGTAATCTAATATTGTGAATATTCCTAAACAACTTCGACTATTTGTTAAAGTAAACAACAAACATCAAGAAGAGGTGCTGGATGGCAGAGGTGCTGAACGAATCAAATTGAACACGTTACTCAACGATCCAAAACCAGCGGAAACCCGTTTGGAGCGCCAGTCTGCGCAACTCAAATGATTCAATAACAACAAAAAAACATACGAAAAGAAATGTGCATTGAGATTAAAACCATAGCCTTTTAGCCTTTTTTGTAGCCTGCACAATCGCACATTGGATGCAAGTGAAAATAGATGTATTGTATTTTAGGTGTGAGTGCACGTAACCTCAGATATATTTTTAAACTCGGTTCTCATAGAATGCTTCCATGCAGACGGCAAGGAACAAACAGACAAACAAAAAAAACAGAGATTCTAAGGGGAGGGCAGCCTCACACCCAACACTTCTTGCACCCCAACACCCGCACCAAGCCACTGCCGAACAAGGCAGGAGCGTGAAGGACACTACACAACACTCGTGACATGCAGCCCTCCAAGGTGCTGCAGGCACCACACTTGATGATTATATGAAACTGATGATGCGTTTACCGTTATGTTTGCAAACGATGTATAGAACTATGGGCAAGTAAGAAAACTCCGTATCTGCCGGACATTTTCGCCAATACAAATCATTCCGTGTAATTTCGTGGCTGCATAATATATATGTGAGGGATTGCTTAACTCAATTGGAGTGACATTTCTCATGTTTAGTAACTTGATGAATTAACGATCTACAAAATTTCAATTTGTCCATTTTTTAAGAGAAGAACTAAGAATTGAAAACGAATAAAATGCCAGCAAGAAAATTCACCAAATTTTCCTTGAAAACGTTAGGTCCAGCTTCTTCATCAGTTCAAAATTTAATAGTACAAGTATAATCAGACGAACAACTAAATTTACATATAGTTAAGATCAAGACCTAAATCATAAATAAAACTCAAATGATCATAAAATCTATGTTATCTTATCCAATCTATTACTCATCTTCAATATAAAATAATCTGTTCGTTATCTATTGGTCTAACTATCATTATCTATCATCGTATTAAACTAGGTCTTTTATTTAGGGCCGACACTACTATCCTATATACTAGAACTCCATGTTAATAACCAGTAAACAAACTCCGTCGGTTATTTTTTCTATAAATTAAGATATCGGCAAACACTATAAAGCAAATAAAACAAAGATGGGACGTAAGCCAGGAAGAACCAGCAGTCGAAACTTAAAAGTCAGGTACAACAGAACCTACTTCGGCATCCCGGAAAACATGAGGCTGGCAGACAGCAAGCTAGACAGTGATATGCAAAATTAATTGTGATAGTTACAACCAATTATCGCCAGCGAATAAACAACTATTTATTTCGAGAAACCCAATAGGATGAATCTATATTACTATTAGGTTGATCGTCCTTATTATAAAGGAAGAAGCTTTCATGCAAATCCTAATTTCTCGTCATGAGTATTTTTCACCCCAGGTGCGTACGGTCTATGATTTAGAAAAAAAAATTAAAAATTATAATTGGCTACTTTTGAATAAAGCATTAACAATCTTAATAAGTAATAGTAGTGAGGAATTCACGAAAAAATAGTTTATGTCGGATGAGTATAAAAAGTATAATTCGATTTGTCGTTGGAATTTCGGTGAATGAGGTCGTAACAGACCAAGCATCTTGTAACAGAGGAGTGGTGCGATTTACAACCCCAGGCGTGATTCTCAACTTCACGAAGTCGTGTTAGCTAGGGACTGTTGCCTGGGTTGTCATAATTGATTTTATGCACCAACAATTGTTCAAATAACATAAAATTTTCACTCTTTGCTTAAAATGATACTAATATACAAGAAAAAATGCGTGTGTATTAAAAATACCAACCATTGAAAAAAATGAACGAAAGGGAATTTAACGAGGTAGAGGTAAAATCATATTAAAGAGGCCGATTTTCGAAACAACCAATGAAAATATGAACGTTTTGCACACTACCCGTGCTTATTTTTTTTATTTGTGTCTGTAATCAATTAAAAGATTTTTTGATATTGTTATCAGAAACGAAAACCTGATCTAATGTTCTAAAATTCTGCGCCAATTGGTCTCATATTGAATAATTAACAATTATTATTTGCACGCGCATTAAGCACTATTTCGAAGAATCCGGAAAAGCCCGTTCAAGATGAACTGTTCCATAGTAGGTACACGAAACAAACGCACGTTTGATAATTCTTCTCCTTTCCCTTAAATAGATTTCAATATATCTTCCTACATTTTTATTATAAGTCATACGTGTCAACTCAGGCGTGTGAAATAACATGAAAAGTTATTCATCCGGAATACAAGCTAAGAGTCCAAACTACTCGCCAAAACTTTTGCCAAAGGAGAGGAGGAACTATATTTGCCCGTCCGACACCCGAGCCAGCGCGAGACTAACCCTGCACCTCATGTACAATGGATGCTCGGCACACTTGCTTATCAACTTAGGTAATGCATAATGCGAGTTGGCATCTCCAATACTGCACTGCAGACTAACATGACACTCACTCGTGAATGTGCGTCATGTTTATTGGGATCTCCTACACTGCACTGCAGAGTAGCCTGACGTATCATGTGTGCAGTCATTTATACCCATACTACACTATTTATTGGCTAACATTCAGCCCATTGTATGGGAGCATGTTCGCCTGTTTGTGACCGTGTATGTATAAGCGTGCGTATGGCTGTTAGCAGAAGTGTCTAAGCATCCAAATTCTGCTTCGTCGTTCTTGAAAAAAGCATGAACCATGTGTGTTGACAATCGAAAGGGTGCACATCATCAACCAACAAGTAAATTTTGCTTCTTAGTCGATCTTGTGTTCATGGTACGTAGGTTGGCAATGCCTCAAGTTAATAACTTTTTATAATCATATCCTCGAGCAGGACCATTTATACATCAGTGCGTTTGGACATATCGTAATAGAATCGAAACGTAGCCTTCGCGCCCACGCAACGGTCGCCTACCGTCGACGCCTGCCAGGAAGATCAGAGGGTCAGCAAAAGTGTGTAAGCAAGAGAACTCCACTTGAGGGCGTTCCATTTAAGGTGCAGGGTGAGCTTAGTGCATCAAATGTCGCTCCCTTGTTGAGAAACACAATCAGTTTATGGAGGGCCGATTATTAAATGACAGTTGGCCGCCGCTGATATGTCTTTAATTGTCAATTGGATTCATCGCTCGGGTAGGAGTTGAAACTGCCCAGTCATTAGTGCGGGTAAACTATCCTTCTAAGACAATGTCATGCATCATGTTCTGAGGTGTGCATATTTAAGTCCCGGCTGCACGAATTTGATGTCGCAGCTACGAGGATGCAGGCATGATGAATAATGAGATGATGAATCGCCTGTGTGGTTGTAGCATAGGAGTATGAAGGACATGTTTGTGAAGGAAACAATTTTTATAGACATCATTAAGCCTAAACTTAAAAGTACTGTTATTGATATAAGGTATTTAAATTTTATTTTATGTTTCGTCATGAAATGTATTAATAAATTTGTTGGAAAATCTTTATTCAGATGTACCGAATGCGAATGATGCTTAAAGAAATAGTAAAAAGTTTCAGTCAGTTTTGCTACAGTAGAGCGAAAGAAGTAATATTCGTAACATATGGCTAATATATGACACTCAAATTGCTCACCTTATCATCAGGATGGTTGAGGCATTTCTCATCCCTCCTCATGCTGCGGCCGCGTCCAATTCTTTTCTTGGATGGTTTAGGAGACCATGACAATCTTGGTCCCGGATTGTCGGAACTTGTGACATCCTCATCCAAACTGTCCGTTTTGCGCGACATTAAAGTTTCCTCGTTGATGCTATCTTTATCGGACGCGTTGTTTGTGAGATTATAATCTTCGGAGGAGTTCAGATGGTATGGAGTAGACGTTGGAGTTGAGTCGACATTTGTTGGGGTATTTGCTGTACTGTAGCTTCTCTGAATAACGGTGGTCGTGCTAGTTGGGCGATCCAAACATAAGTTTGATTTGCCAGATTCAAAAGTTGCTATGCTGTGTGAGGAAGGATGGGTTGACATGCATCCTTCGCTTGGACTACAACGCCAGCCAGAGTAGTCCCGGCAGGTTGGGGTTTGATCGTCTTCTGACTGCGCCGTGTCGCTAAATTCGTACAGGCTTTTCTTCTTCACGCTTTGATACGGACTGAATGCTGTACCACATTCGTTTCCAGAATCATTGTGTTGAGCATCTCGATGCAAAGGACGCGTGAAGGGAGAAGTTTTGCTGAAAAGTCTGTAGTCGAATGATCCAGTATTGGTGTCTGAAGTTTCAGTTTCACTTGTTAGGTCCAAAGGGTGGCGATCATTGGTTATGAAACGCAGCGGCTTTTTGTCGGGACTGTGTGACTCGATTATTGAAGGGCACGAATTTCGGTAGTCTGGGGTAAACAAAACCTAAAATGAGGAAAAAATGGCTGTTAATGTAAACAAAAAAAGTGCATATCGACTGAAATTCATAAAAAATTATCAAGTCAGAAGTTGATTAAGATTGTTTCGCAAGGCAAAAAAATTCAAAGTTAATGTATTCTCAGAGAAAATTCTTGATACCAACAGAAGTTATTAGTTCTAGAATAATATTATGGATAGTATCATCGTTATTAGTTAATTATTACTGTTCCAATTCTAATTATTTCGTAGTTTTACCACTCCGTGTACCTGTAGCGGCTGATGTACCACAGCTGTCCACGCTGGCGGTTGGTCATTCTGAAGATGTTGTTGTTGTGATGTCTGAGAACAAGAAGGTAAGCAACAAGCAGGAATGGAGCAAGAAGTGAGGGTGCATGGTACTTGTGAGCAGGAAGCTGCGCACGCAGACATGGAGCGTGAGGGGAGAGAACACGCAGGTGAGGGACGAGTGTTGGGGCCGTGATGCGAGGGACGCAAGTCTGGTGATCCTCTCCAGCTTCGTCGGTGAGGGGAAGGGGAGCGTGAGTCTGTCTGTTGGAATAGTGAAAACTGTAATGAACTGTTTGTAATTATCAGCAAATCAACTATTAATAAAGTGTTAATATAGTTTTGAAAAGTCATGAGAGACTTTAATTGTCGTTTGATAATTTCAACTAATTTTTGAAGTTAATTCAACTATACAAATCTTATTGACAACCCATTGCCCACACCTAATGACAGAGTCTGTAAAAATATTGAATTCATTGCACATGGATAGGTAATGTGTATAAAACGTTCCAATTTAGAAAAACAATTGCAAACTTAAGATGCAAAAGATTTAGAACATTTTTCTCATTCAATGCTAGTGATAATTATTTTTATTAACTGACGTGACACAAATGGAACAGTGTCAGAAATTCTCTTAAAAACATAACTTTATCTATTCGATAGACGATACCTTTAATTTTTGGCAGCTCTTCTATTCTCACAGATCAAACAGGGGTGATTATAACTCAATATTATATGCGTTTAAAAATTACTTTTTAAAGACAACTCTTCAAAAGAATCCAGTGTCTGCGATGTTAAACATGTACAATTAATTTCTAATTTTATTTTCAAACACTAAAAAATTGATTTTAAATATTTTTACAACACTGCTCTTTAACTGCACTTCTTGTTCTTTGTATGTTTGTCTGTCTGCTACAAATGTTATAATCGATATTTAACACACTTCTACCTCTTCAATCGATCTGAAATTTTGCACACATGTGTAAATTTTGAGACAATGCATGAATAAATTGACAAAATAAATAATTTCGAAAATTTAAAAAAAATTCAGTATTAAAAAAATTATAAAATAATTTTATCTGCTACAAATCTTATGATCGATATTTAACACACTTCTATCCTTTCCAATCGATCTGAAATTTTGCACACTTACGTAAAGTCGGAGACGATACATTAATCAACTGACAGAATAAATAATTCTGAAAATGTAAAAATTTTTCATATATATTAAAAATTTAAAAATAATTTTTTTTATGTTTGAAAATAAAATTAGAAATTCATTTTACATGTGTAACATCAGAGACACTGGATTCTTTGGAAGTGTTGTCTTTAAAAAGAAATTTTTAAACGCATATTTTAATATTAGAAAAAATTAAATTTTCCAATTTATTTATTGTCAATTGATTCGTGCACTGACTACGAGTTTACGCAAGTGTGCAAAATTTCAGATCGATTGGACAGGTAGAAGTGTGTTAAATATTGAGTATAAAATTTGAAGCAGACAAACAAACAAATAAATGAAGTTAAAGAGAAGTGTTGTAAAAATACCTCAGAGTCTCACCTTAGATCCGTCTGTTTCATCGGCTGTTGTTGTGAAGTCTTCAGCACTGAAGTTCATGGTTGCGGTTTCGAGACTTTTTTGCGCATCGCTCCCGCTGTTTTTGCTGTCATGAAATTCAAAATTAGGGCTAACATCGCAATCACAGTCGCTTAGTCTGTTCGTAGAAGAATAGTTGCTTAGTTTGCTACACGAATCCATATTTTGTAGTACATCCATACAACCTTGTCGAGTTGTGTTATTGTACTTTTTATCGTTATTATTGGTATAAGTTTCGAAACAACCAGCAGTTGTGTGTCGCAGATAATGAGAGACGTCGTTGTCATAAGGAGCACCGAGAATTTTGCTGTTAGAGTTTGGGGTCTCCCATCGAGTTCGTAATCTTCTTTGTGTGCGCTGCAACTCATTTTCTTTACTTTGTTTCCGGGATAACTCCAGCGTTTGATGACAGTCGTTGTTCATTTGATTTGCGTTGAAAAGACTATTCTGAGTTGGGTGATGATCTTTCCTCAAGTTAGAGATTGGGACGGGTATACCAGACGCAGTTTGTGTGGTTCCGTCTTCGCAAAATTTGCGTCTAAAATTCCCATCGTTATCATCTGATGTGCCGTTGCAGAAAATTCGACACCTTTCGGCGATGCTGGGCGACACCCGTATCATGTCTACTAACTTTTCTTTATAGGTACTTTATAATGTCACTTACTAATTTTATAATATCATCTTTATCAAATTGTGCAATAATTTAGTAAATTTACAATACAAATCCCCTCCCGTGGATTCTTTCTAAAATATTATCAACTAAACAATTCAAAAATTAACTTAGTTTGATAGTAATAAATAAATGAAAAAATACTCATCAAGCTAAAAAAATTCACTATTCTCTACAAGTACGAAAACCAAACTAAGAAACTGAAAGGGAAACGTAATGTTCATAAAGTTTGTCACGTTTCTAGTCACGCATATTTATGGTCTCTTTCTGAATAGTGATCAAATTAGCGCTCCTTCACACAAATAATCGTCTGCTTGTGAAGCGGTGGAGACCAACCGGTACATTTTATTGCTTATTCAAGTTTTAAAGTGAACTGTATAATCAATCATTTTTCGAGATTACGCAAGCGATTATACAAATAAAATTTGCCTTATTTATTATTTTACTGACTTTGTGGTTCATAAAATTCTGTTGATTACATTACGAATTTAGTCTTCTTAATAACGAAATAACGTACGGTCGTGGCTCGATGTTACTAGGTACAGCGGCTATTGCAGCATCTAACTGCTGCATAGCAATATAATGAAAGTATCACTACTGCCGTGTCATATCATGCCTGGGAATATCTGCTGCGTCATGTTGGCTCGAGGATAGGTCAGCGAGTGGCATTGCAGTCTCGCGCTTAGCCCTGCACAATTTAAGGATTCAGAGACGATAATACCATTCAAATATTTTAAACCAAATTAAATTTAATATACCCGGTTGTGCTTTATTTGTCTGTCCCACTTTCTTCGCGATTACCTCGTGAATTGAAATTAACTGCTCATAGTTACTTCTCAGAGTGAATAGATTTTAAATGGGTTCAAAGAGTCAGTCGCTTGAATATTTGCCGTTTTTCAACTATTAAGAAGATCAACCATATTTCGACATGTTATCTCGAGAAATTTCAAAGTTAAACAGAACAAAATGATTTTCGATGATACCTGTTACGTGTACATTTTAGCGACCTCATGAATTAATGAATATAAATATATTATATTTTCTGCAATTCTGCCTATGTGAATGCGGCAACAGATCACTTGGCAACAGATATCGAGTGCTTGTCAAGTTGACATTTGGATGGAACATAATCGCCGTAGTTGCTAAAGCTCCTATCCCCGAGCAGAGACATAATTCACGTAAGGAATGTCACTCAACAACATGCCCGCGCTAAATCCTGCTCGACTCCGAACGGCAGACGTAAGGGCATAATTTTGATGACACATGATAGAAATAATCAACATTGATAGATTATTATATGCCGTCCACTCTCTATCGAGATCGAAGAAACCTATCACTATGACAAGTAGCCACTCTGAACTCCGAGTGTTTTTTTTCTATACCTCAAATTGTGCACATCACTCAATATCAAAAGTTTCTAGATTAATTACGTAGTAAGCAATAACTTTATAAGCAATTAACTTAGCTTGTCAGTGTTTTGACACGATGTTCATTCAAAACTAAACAATTAATTACTTGTCAAGCGTCACGACCAAGGCAAGAAATTTGCAACGATGAATTCAGCCCTTCATAATGACAGAAGGAGAACTAAGAATTCAAAGTCAATCGCTATGGCCGAAAGAAGTGAATGAATCGGTAATTAACTGTAAAGAAACTGTAATTTTTCAACAGTGGAAAGGTTTAAATTTATTTGCCTTCAAAATTTAATGCAGCTATTAGTTGAATTTACTCCTACCTGGCTATCACAATTTCTCCTAAACCTGAGCCCCAATTAAATAACACGTTTGGTGACAGTTAAAACTAAAAACTGTATGACACAATCGTGAAGCATCCAAAACATATATCAAAATCCTTGTACAATTTTCTTAAAAAAAAAAAACGGAAGAGTTCGAGCGTCCAGTCGAGCGCGAAGTTTAGGGCGCGTCGAGAGGCCGCTGGCTCCGTCCCTCCAACTTATACGGAGAATGTCGGGGCGTACGCTATGGCTGCATTACCTTCTTAACAATAATATGCTGACGCGCTTTCAAGGTCAGCATGGAGGAGCAGCTTTGAGCGTCCAGTCGAGCGCGAAGTTTAGGGCGCGTCGAGAGGCCGCTGGCTCCGTCCCTCCAACGTATACGGATAATGTCGGGGCGTACGCTATGGCTGCATTACCTTCTTAACAATAATATGCTGACGCGCTTTCAAGGTCAGCATGGAGGAGCAGCTTATGATCAAGCTCTGTAGAGCGGCAGTACAGCATGGACAAGGAGATTATCAAGTCAATATCTGGTGTGTTTTTAACATGGAGAAGCAGAGTATAACGTTAAAATCCGAAAGGCATTGTAACATGTCAAAGAAGCTTGCAACGTTAAACACTGGCGGGTATTGCAACATAGAAGTATGTACAAGCGCACGTCTATTTTTATATTGTCATAATTTGTATACAATTATGGAAAGTTATGTGAAAACGAATTTCACATGGCATAACGATTAAAATAAGAAAACAGCAGGGAAATTTTCAATCCAGAAATTGATTGAGTTGCAACCATTTTTCAAATAAATGATACCATATTAAAGTTTATAATATTGTCTCATATTTCTATAATGATGCGTTATAAATATGTTCACGGTATGGAATTTAAACGCTAAATTTATCAAAATTTGAGCTTCAAAATTTACTCACGGCTTATCATCGCCTTATGATTTACGAACTTGGTGGATTCAGTTGGCATCTCCACGTCATCGCTGCGTTTGTAGTCACCGAAATGCTCAAGTTCACTCAAGAAAAACGCATTCGACGTTTTTAAATCATGCAATATTCCGTAATTACCATTGATATATAGTTGTTGGGAAAATTCAAAGAGAGAGAGAGAGCGAGATGTTCCCTTTGTGTTCTCTTTTGAGTCGATTCGTTTTCTTAATGAAACCTCGTCTTTTGCTGCTAACGATGTCCAGAGGCGTGGTAAACATCTTACGATTTCCATAGCTTCCATGTGCTTGGCAGATCCCCCGATTATAACAAGGTTCTGACGTTATGCGCCATTGCCTGCACTGGAACACGAACTTTCTGGGACTTGACCATAGATAAATAATATACATTAACATACTTAGAGCTCTTTAAGATGGTGCAGCATAAATTTATGATTCTTCGCAGTAAATTAATATTGATGTTCATTGATAAGAATCCAAGACTTGATTTCACACGATAAATCAGTACATAACACAATGCTGAGGGCTATAAAATGCAATGTTTATCGGTTTTATTATGAGAAAAACTTCTGAACATTCCCGAAAGCATGACCACTTAGTCAAATTAATAGTTAACTTTTAAGTCATTTGCTACTCGAACAGCCTTCAAACTTCTGAGCACGCATTTCTATGTTCGGCATGCGAAGTACCCTACTTTCTTCCAGTCATCAAAACCTGATCCGCAGCTCTCCACTCTGCGGCACCCTGGTCAGAGTCTCTACGAAAATTTCCGCAGCACAACTCGCTTTCGAAAATTCACGTCATCCATTTTACATATTGTTTACAAAAACGAGTAAGGACATTGATGCAATAATGCAACTAAGTAGGAGCAAGAGCACACAAGGAAAATTTGGCATTGAAAACACTGCTTTTGTGTGCCTGTTGATGCTAAAAAATGTTCAACATGAACCGTTAGTGCCAGGAGTGGCGCGAGAGGAAGCCTCTCCTAGAAAGAACCCGTTTACGTAGCAGCACCACACCTCTTATCTAAATGCCTGCCACGGCAAGACTGGGTCACTGCCCGACGCCCGTCCGACAGTCCGAGTCTGACGGTCCGGTATTCGCTGCCCATGCCTTGTTCACATCGCACAGCTGTGGGCACAAATTTGTACGAAATTGTCAGACTTGCATACGTCATAACGAGTCTAAAGTCATAAAGTGATTCAGATATAGTCAAGAGTCATTATATTAGTTAAATATTGTTAGTTAAGTAATATTAGTTAAATGTCTAAATAATATTAATTGTTTATTATTATTCGTTACTAGTTCAAATTAACGGAGTAGGATGATGCAAATTATGGTAATTCATTACAAAATAATAAAACGGTAAACCTAATAATAATTACATCGTTTCAGAAGTAATTCGTGCTTATTGCAACAGCAGAAAATTTATCGTAGAATGGTAGTCTTTGAATGATCGCCATGACAACTTTGGGTGATAAATTAACCTTGGAGGCACATTTTTTACTTTACGTCTTTTGACTAGTAGAATTCGTGAACATGAAATCTTTCGGGTTCATGAAATTCTGCAGAAAATTTAAAAGACTTCATGGGCAGTCCAGTACTCGCACATACAAATTTTTAACCTGTCTAGAGCTTGCATAATCTAGAATGCAATGAAATCAACAAAAAATCCATTTGGCTCTCGATCAAGTCGCAGCATTACTTTTCAAGCCGGGGCCCGGAGGAGACCGCGCTTTCCTGAAATGAATTTTCAACAAACGATCAATAAAATTTGATGAACGAATGTTTTTCAAGGAGCTGCCAGTGTTTTTAGAGAATAATAATGAATCATGATATTGCATTGAAGCGAATAATTTATAAGTATTATAATGAAAATAAATTTAAAATTATGGGTCATCCAATAATATCGGGTCCATGATCGGGTCCGTCAGACATTTCAAGAAGATGTGGCAGTCTGCAACAAAATAAAAGAATAAGAGATGGTTGGAGCATAAAAAATCGTTGACTCCTTGATAATAAAAACACTTTCATTTTATTGCAGCAAATAACTCCTAATGAAATCGCAATTTTTGCTTATTTTATCAGGCGCTTTCGCGATATTAAATAAAAAACTGATTCGCGACCATAAGAACCAGTGCCACAAAGCCCATAATAAGACAGTTACTCATGTATTATAATTATTTTCTGTCAATTTTCATAACGAAAACGTTATTTATCCTGGTGTGTCTTCTGCAAAAATAGCAACTGCTCAATTTAACTTTATGAA